GCCCAAGACGGATACTCAGTCCTGACAGCAGGAGGTACCAGGGAGAAGTGGGCACTGGGGAAAACTAGAGAAATCAGGCTGCACCTGAAGGAGTGACTTGTGAGACCCAGCCACAATCAACCAGAAGATAATTCAGACCCAGTTTTGTTCTGTCTTTTCCCCTTTTTCCCCAAAAAGTTTACATCCCAATATTTATGAGAAATCTATCCTCTTTTTAGCATTGGCAACAGAGTCGATTTTATTTTAGAATCTCGATTTAGAGTATGGCGTAGGATATCAATATGTCTGTAACCCACAGAAACTTTGCTATTTCCAAATTAGATGGTATCTATTAAATGAGAAGTCAAAAATGTATGAACAGAAGAAAGCATGGGCATTCTAGTTAAGCAAAAGCTGTTAACCTGTAACGAAATGTGATTCCTATCAAGAAATTCATCTGGGAGGACACCCTATGAGAAAATGATCTGAAAGGGAAACAGCAGCCCTTCCAAATGCATTTGCAAGTGTCCTGAAGTGCCGTTCAGATGGCTAGCAGGGAAATGACGTGCGGTTGAGCCAATAAAAAGCTCTGCAGTGAGCATATTATTTATGATAACAAAAAATCATTAATGGCATCCAGTGGCAAAATAAACAAATTGTGAACAACCTGATAATGCAATCGTGATAGTAGAATGAACAGTGGGAAGTAGTGTTTGCAAACATCAAGTTTATCAGAGTCAGCCAGGGAGCTCGTCAAATGGACAGATCCCCAGGCATCACGTCAGTCCTTCTAAGCAGCCTCCACAACTGGGTTTGAGCATCTGGACATTTAACAACTTCCCAGGAGATTCTAATGCACCCACCAAATTGTAAAAGCGCTTCAAAATTAAAGCCAATTATGAAACAGCATGCATAGTGTGTTGTGAGATTAGGATATGATTCAGCTGCATGTGGTAAAGTCACACATATACATATCTGTCACATACACATCAGTAGCAGTAGCTAAAATTTTTTTTATATATTTTTTAAAGATTTGTTTTTATTTATTTATTTATTTTATTTATTTATACAAGCACTGGGTACAGTCAGAAGCGCGGGAGGGTGAGAGAATTCACCAGAGCCAGAGCAGGGAACAGAACAGGCAGACTGACGAAATACACTGCTGAGGGGAGCAGTGGGCACAGCAAGAGAGGTCTGCACGCCATGTGGGACCCTCCTCTAGTGGCCGGGGAGCAGCCGGGGATCGAACCAGTGCTGCAGAGGCTGCGGGCAGCTTCGCAACCCAGCGCTCAACCGCTGTGCCACCAGGGAGGTCCGCTAAAATTTTTTAAAGTGCATTTTTTGTAATGAAGTTCAGAAGTAGAAAATATGGTTGACCACTCCACATTAAAAGTCAGAGATTTAGGCTGCTTCCTGCTCACCTACCAACCATGCCTACATATAGCCTCATTCTCATAGCCCAAAATGGCAGTTAGAGCACCAGCCATCACATCCTTATCCCAAACAGGAAAGAAGGAGAGGAAAAAAAGGAGGGGGGGCAAATTGCATAAGTTATTTTTAGGAAATTCCCCAGACAGACTTCTGGACTTAGTGATATAGCCACGTCCAGTTACAAAGGAGCTGGGGAAAGTCTTTCTCAGGATTCCATGTGCTCAGTTGCAAATCAGAAATTATAGTACTAAGAAAATTTGAGACGACCGATGTTGGGTACACAACAATCTCTACCAGAAATAAAATATAAATATGTTAAATGTATATAGATTTGAACCACATGAAATTGTGTTTGTCCTTTTTAAAAATAAAAAAGGACAAATAGCTACAGTCCATGTGGTTCGTTTATTATATATCTATTAAAAATTTCAGAAATACATGAAACAAAAAGATTTCTAGCTACTGGTTATCTCTGGTTGGTGGGCTCTCAGATAGCCAGGTATAATTTAATTATTCTTTAATAATGATCATAACGGTTACCAAAAAAGGAGATTTAAAAAGCATGAAAATTATAATCACATTTTAATAAAATATGAGTACAACTTCTGTGTTTATGCATAGAGATTTTATTTAATTCATACATATTCACATAATGTATATCTTACATACACAAAGAAAAAAGACCAGCTATATCCTTCAATCAAAATGTTGTTTCTGAGTAATAGACTGTAAATGGGTTTTATTTTCTTCCTTATGCTTTCTCTATTTTTTCCCAGTTTCTTGCCAAGTACTTGTAATGCTCTTATAATAAAACAAGTATAGAAACAAATACAAAAAAATGGGAAAAGGACATTTAAGACCAGGGAAAAAGCCATCACAGTGATCTATGTATGCTATAGACACGGTCTGGCTGGGTGTGGTCGCAAAGGATTCAAAGGTGGGAACAGAGATGCGTCCATTAGACCAGGAAATATTGATAAGCAGTGAGGCCCTGCGTGCCAGGCCCTGTTCTAGGCTCCAGGGATAATGACAGAATAAACTAGGCCAGGTCCATACTCACCTCGAGATTATCATCCAGTGCAGAGACAGAAAATAAGCAAGTATGAATTTTAAAATAACAAAAATAATGGTACAAATAAGAAAATAATAACAGGATTGGTAATGCAGGGATATGCGTCAGCCACTATTCTAAGCTCCTCATACATGGTTCAGAGGACTGTTTCTTCTGAAAAAATAGTAGTAGATACTATTATCTCCAATTAACAGAAAACTGGGCATAGAATAGTTGAATGTCTTGTTCAAGTTCACCCAGCTGGTCACAGTGAGGGAGCAGTAGCATGTGTGTGTGTGTGTGTCTGTGTGTGTGTACCTGGAATTATCTAACTCAGGACAAGGCACTTAACCACCAAACAGTGAGGCCCAGACCCACAGGGTGATAAGCAGAGCCGAGGCATTTGAGAAGCAGATGCAATTACTGGGATTTGACCTAAAGGAAATTCTGAGGCACTAGGTCTGGAACGGGATTCAAGAATTTGTTTGCATTTGCTTCTTCTCCTGGGTTAAATATGAAACATAATCTCCACAAAGGCGTCCGTGGCCACGATATCAGTTGTGGTTACATCTCTGGCCTTGAGGAACTGGAGCCGCCAGGATTGGGAGGGCACACGAGGCTAGAAACGCTCAGTGTTTGACGCAAGGGGGATGGGGTCACACAGGTAAACATTTACCCAGTCCTAAAAAAAATAATAAATTTATCAAGCCTTAAAATAAGCTGCAGGGGCTTCTGGATGGCATTAGGTAGGGCTGGGTGTCATGAAGATGGTGGAGGAGCCAGTACCCAGGCTTCACCAAGCCAGAGAAGTCTCCAGAGAAGGTGACATTTCTTTTGGCCCCAGGGGAGAGCTGTCAGACTCCAGAGACCAAGGAAAAGCGACCCCAGAGGCAGAAGGAGGAGCAGACACAGCCCCAGGCAGGAGGGCCTCAGCCTTTGAGCAGAAGAGGCAGGTGTAGCCCAAGCTGGAGACCGGCAGAAGGAAGCCTGCAGCGCAACACGGGTGGGCCCTGGCCAGCTCTCTCCTGCCAATTCCTGGGGCTGGAATCGACAAATATCACCCCCACACACACTGTTCCCCACTCAAATACTACCTGCTCAGGGCCGAGCCCTTCACCGACCACGCCCAGCCACGAGCATGACTTTGAGAGGCCTCCCCACCTTATCACCACTGAGCCCTGCCGCTGCTGTGCTGTTTCAGTGCTTGTCCAGCCACCAGCCAGGCTGTCAGGGCAGCACTGGCTCTGGGCCCCCGGGGAGGTGCGCCCACCGCTGGCACTGCAAGCTCTCACAGCTGGATAGTTGCTGGAGGATGCACAAACCCTGGCAGGAAGCAGCAGGGGAAACCCCATTAGTGACACAAGCCACAGTTCCTGAGAGCCTACTGTGTGCCAGACACCGGGCCAGGCCGCTGGGAATAGACATAGGAAGCAAAGAATTTTTTTTTTTTAATTTATTGGAAACATGGGATGTAAGATGGGGAGGATGGAAGGATGGATGGATGGATGGATGGATGGATGGGTGGATGGATGGGTGGGTGAGTGGGTGGGTGGGTGGATGGGTGGGTGGATGGGTGGGTGGGTGGGTGGATGGGTGGATGGGTGGATGGAGAGAGGCGTCTAGATAATGGCTGATAGGCGGATGGCTAGATAATGTAGATATTCCAGATACTCTAAGAAGAAGGATTAAGCGGGAGGGAGCCAGGGAGCTGTCCTTCGGCGGGGAGGGAGCCTCCCACAACTAGCCTAGGGTGGCCAGGCTGGTGGCCTCTCCACGATGTGGCTTTGAATTGGCAGCAGGGGTGCGGCGGGTGCGGGTGGAGCGAGAAGAGCCTGCAGGCTGGAGTGTGGGGCTGGCGCGGGAGGGCAGCGCAGGAGAAGCCCCTGTGGACCCGGGCAGGGACTTTCCCTGGGAACTTAGAAACGCGCGTTCTCGGGCCTCGCCCGACATCTGCTGAATCAGAAACCGGGGCGCGCGGAGGGAGTGACTTCAGGCACAATCAAGTTAGCCGACCCCGGAGCCCGTGGGGGGGGGGGCTCGGCCTTCCAAGCCAGGGGTGCCTCTCCCCGCGCACGTGATCCCGGCCCCCAGATCCCCAGCAGGGCAGGGGACCCGCCCGCACCCTCCCGACTTGCGGGGCGCGGAGCTGCGGGGACAGCGCCCCGGAGCCTGGCGCCCGGGGCACACCCATCCCGCGCGGCTCCCCGCGGGTCTCCGCCGCCCGCGCCCGGGGTGCCGCCGGGGGTGCCTCCCAGGCCTGCAGGTGCAGAGACGCGCGAGCCCGGGAGGCCGAGCGCCCCGGCCGGGCCCGGGAGGTGCGCACCGGGGCGCAGCGCCGCGCTGGGGGGCTCCCCGGCGCGCCCAGGCCGCGGGGGCGCGGGGGCGCGTGCAGAGCCGCGGAGGCCCCCGCGCCGCGGCCCGCGCCCGGGATTGGCCCGCGGCCCCCGGGGAGCGCCGCGCGGAGCGGGCCGGGCCGGGCCAGCGCCCTCTAGGCAGCGGAAGTGGCGCTCGCCGAACATCCGTCCTCCCGCCCCGAGCCGCGGAGGCCGGCCGGGGGGTGTGGAAAATAAAAGGAAAAGTCCCCGCACCATGTAGCCCCGCGCCCCGCTGCGCCCCCGGCCGGCTGCGGCCATGAACGCGAGCGGCGAGGGCGCGAGCTTCCCCGGCGCGGTGCAGAGTAAGTCCCGGCGGCGCCGGCCCGCGCGCGCTCCGGGGCCCGGGCCCAGGCGCGTCCGCGGCGCGGCGAGCAGGCCCGGGGCCCCGACATCGGGGTGGCGGCCGCGAGCCGCTGACCCGGGGCCGCGGCGGGCGCGCCGTGCGCGGGGCGCGGGGGGAGCTGGGGAGGGGGGCCCCACCCGGCGCCGCGCGGGGGGCGCGCTCGCCCCTGCGCACCCCCGGGGAGCGAGCGCGGGGAGGGCGCGCGGCTCAGACAATCGCCACCCGCGGGGCACTCCCCGCCTCCCCAGGCGGAGTTTGGGGTGCTCGGGGGGGTCACGCCCCCGCGCGGAAGGGAAAACTTCTGCCTCGGCGGCGCAGGAGCCTCCAAGTTCGGGAGTCCCGCTGGCACGAGGTCCGGCCGGCCGAGGTGCCCGCGCGCCCACCGCGCCGCTCCCACCTGGAGGGGGGGCCCGAGGGGCGCCGCGCGCTGCCCACCCAGGTGTCCCCGCCGCGCCACCTGCCCGCCCGGGGCGCGGCTGCCCCAAGCGTGGTCCGGGGACGCGGCCGCGGCCACCTGGGAGCGCGAGCGCCTCTTTGAAAAAATAAAAACCCTCGGGGCCCACCCATCAGGGGGGCGGGACGGGGCGGACCCCGCGGGCCAGCCGGGCCGGGCCGGGGCGCGGGAAGCGGAGCCCAGGTTTGCAGGTACCTGCGTGGAGTCAGCGCCCGGCTGGGTACCTGCAGATGCTGGTTTTGGAGACATTGTCTCCAGCTTGCTGGGGTTCCTTGGATGGGCACAGAGTTCCCAAGCCCCAGCCCTCCTTCACCCCGACTCTGTACCCCCGAGCGGGGCTCAGTGGTGTGGGTTTACATACCTTCCCCGCCCCTTAGTCTGGGGCTGAGGAGACCGGCTCCCAGAAGTTGGCAGAGGCAGAGGAATTCTTGGGGTCGGAACACGAACCTGCACCCCCTCTTTTCTGTGGTGTCAGTTCATTCTCTGCCTGCGCAGAAGGGGACTCAGACTTTCAGAGGGGTCTCTCCGCGCGTCGCTGCACCCCACTAGGTAACCTGCTAAGGGTGGGGACCCCTGCGCTGGCCTTTTGGGTTTTGGGGGATTTTTTTTAATTTTTTTCTTTTTTTTTTTTACTTTTTGGGTGGTAACCTTTTAAAGCACTACTCATTTAATCCTCACAACCACCCAAGACAGTGGAAACGTCTCCCCATTTTATGGATGAGAACTCAAGCCCTAGCCCCGGTTGCTAAGTTACGGAGTGAGATTTCAAGACAGCCCAGGTCATCCCAGTGGCCATGGGGGGCTGCCCAACCCTTCCACCTGCCATCCCGGGCATCACACCAGCCATGCCCAGAGGCCATTGAGGATGGCGAGACTGGGCGCCTGTCTTCCTCCTGGTCCCGGGGCACCTCCTTGGGAGAAGAAAAGGCTTCATTTCTCCCAGCCACTGATTTCAGCATACTGGGAGGTTTGGGGGTTCGGGATGTGGGAGTGGGGTGCGGCTGCAGAAAGGCTTGTAACATTGCAGGGCTTCCCCCTCCCCCAGTATCTCTCCTTAGCAAGTCAACCAAATTGTATTTCCACAGAGATCTCTTGTCTTGGACTTGGGAAAAATTGGACTTAATGTAAATATTTTATGAATTTTCATAAAATATGAGGCGTGTAGAACAACCATCTGTGCACGACACTAGTTCCTTTTTATTTAGACTAGGGGGAAACAGGAAATAATAAAATAGACCTAATAGTTACAGAAAAGATTATAATGTGTGGATAACATGGAATAATGTCTTGGCATTCAATAATTACCTTTGTAAAGAGATTTTAGTGATATAGCTTAATGTTTATGCAATATTGTGGAGGGGAGATTGATTTTCTAATACTTTATGATCTTAAACAATTTTAAGTGTATAGAAAACAAATGAAAAAATATTTTGTGGTATTTATGATACACATAGTGGAAAGATTATTTTCCCCTTCTAAATTTTCTGTTTAAATGTTTCTTTATACTAAGGCAAAGATAATTTTAAAAAATAAAAATTAAGGTAGTCATGTTAGTTAGAGATATTAATTAATTGTATTTCTTTAACAGTTATGTAGCACTTTTTAATATAGTGCCGGGGACTATGATACCAACTTTGCAGATATTAACACAATATAAGTCTTGGTATCATTACTATTGAGAAATAACATCCCCATCAGTTAAGATTGAATTTTGTTTCTAAATAACAAAACCCAGCCATGCTGGCCTTATGAGAAGTCGAGAGTTGGTTGACTCCAGAGTTGCTTCAGGGAATCAGTGAAGGAAGAACCAGCATCCGTAAGGATCCTGGCATTTTCCTCATAGTTACAACAGGGCTGCAGAAGCCCCTGGCATCCCATCTACCTTCAAGATCGGAGAAAAAGGAGGACAGTGAGAACTATATCTGCTCCCTTTTTATCCTGAAAGCCAAACTTTTCCCAGTAGTTCCTCCAGCATGGTGTTGGAGGGATTTCCAAGTATGTAAGGGAAAAACATTTTAGACTAGTGGTTCTCATAGTTAGAAGGGATGGGTAGTTTTCATAATAGCTGAGAAATACCATACCTTTCACTTGGGGTGGGAGACGGGTTGCTGGTGTTTGTGCACAGCAGCCCCACACATCAAAGAACATTCTTGCATAAAAGGCCAGGAGACGCCCTCTGGACAATGCATCATGGTCCTCACTTGGGTCAGAGTATAAGGGATCATAACAGCAAGGAGAGGGGAGCGCAGTGGATATTGGGCCAGCAGTCAGCCACGCCCACCACCATATCCTTTTTTCCTACCAGGGGTCTGATTTCTGTTGTTTGGAATTAATCTGTGACTCTCCCTTCGCCCATGGAGTTCCAGGTGGCACCACGGTGCTGGTGGAGCTGACCCCTGACCTCCACATCTGCGGCATCTGCAAGCAGCAGTTTAACAACCTGGATGCCTTTGTTGCTCACAAGCAAAGTGGCTGCCAGCTGAGTAGCACCGCAGGGCCGACCCCCAGCACGGTCCAGTTTGTGTCGGAGGAAACGGTGCCTGCCACCCAGACGCACACCACCACCAGGACCATCACCTCGGAGACCCAGACCATCACAGGTACTGCAGGCGGGGCGGGGCGTCAGTCGGCACTGGCCAGGCTCTGTCCTGAGCGCCTCCATGGAACTTGTTAAAAGTATAGTTTCCCTGGATCCACCCCCTCGGGTTGTTGATTCATTATTTTTAACAAGCTCCGCTGGGAAGCCAGCTGCCTGGCCAGGTTTGGGAGCTGCTGGGCTAAAGCAGTGTGTTAGCAGTTATAAATGTGGTCATATGTTAAACAAAACAGACCAAAAAAGATTTCTAGAACAAAAACCTCTACACTAGGAAGAAAAGACTTGCAGAAGATACATTGTAATTTTTAGAAGGTGATTATTTGGGTGGGGGGACATGGATATGATCCTTGAATTTAGGTGACTCATGTAAACAGACAAACTGCATGAATTTTTGATACTCACCCTACAAACAGGCATTGGTGCCGACCCTCCCCTGTGCTGGAAAAACAGAAAAGTTTATCACTGCTCTGGGCTGTGTCCACTCACTCCACTGAAAATAAACTGCAGATGAATCCAAACTTAAATATACACAAAACCATTAGTTTTCTAAGGTAAATACTATACACACAGAGAGATGTAGACACACACTCACATACACACACATATACGTGTGCATTCACATACACACATATATACATGTGCATGTGCACACACACACAAAGATCTATCTAATCTTTTTTTTTTTTAAAGATTTATTTATTTGTTTATTTATACAAGCACTGGGTACAGTCAGAAGCGCGGGAGGGTGAGAGAATTCACCAGAGCCAGAGCAGGGAGCAGAGCAGGCAGACTGATGAAATACACTGCTGAGGGGAGCAGTGGGCACAGCAGGAGAGGTCTGCGTGCCATGTGGGACCCTCACCGGCAGCTGGGGATAGAACCCCTGCTGCAGAGGCTGCAGGCAGCTTCGAAGCCCAGTGCTCAACCGCTGCGCCACCAGGGGAGGCCCTATCCAATCTGTCTTAAGGGACGAGAGAGATAACTTTAGAATACGATGTAGCTCATTGAATGAGCTAGTACAGACACTGCTAGGTCCTGTGGGGAAATGGAGAATGTATTTCTTAGCTGAAGACATTCAAGTTTTTAATTAAAATATATATTCTAATACTGTACCTACCAAAGAAGATAGGATGTGGATCCCTCTCTTTCCCCCAAAAGTAAAAGAATCAAGTATGTGGTAGCAAATGAAATTACAATTTTTCCAAAGTAAACAATGTATAAAAAAGTCCAAAGACAAGCAAACAACTGAGAAAAATGTTACAACAAATATGACTAAGGCCTAGTGTCTTTCATATATAAAGAACTCCTAAAGTTAATAACAGTTGAGAAAAAGAACCAAGTAGAAAAGTCAGCAAAGGGCACGAGATGCTATACAAGAGCTCACTAACCATCCAAAGGTGCCCTGTTGCCAGAGTAATTAAGGAAACACAAATCATAGGACGGCATGGGGTGAGGGAACCATTTTTATTTTCTGGCGATGTAATTCATATAATCGGAGCAACTTTCCATCTCTTTTAAACTTAAAATCTTAAATTGAAAATCTTTCAAATCAAATTAAAGTGTATATGAGCACACTTACCCTGTAACTATACTTTTAGGTATTTGTTCTATAAAACTTCATGAGCAAATCTCCATAAGTAAATATACAGGGTATTTATTTGCAATATATTGAGCAGTTGGAAAAGTCATGATGTATTTTTTCTACATTTTCTATGCAAAAATCTGTCATGACTTTAATGACAACCCAATATATTAAAAGGGGAGTTTTTATCTGTATATGTCAAGAGGAGATTAAATAAATGATATCAGGGATTCAGACAATGGAATATGACTTGCCTGGAAAAGGGGAGCTGTGTGCTAATAGAGGAAGGTTCTCAAGGTAGGTGTAAGAATGCATACACATGTGTGCATATGCTGTATTTGATTCAAGGAAAACTTCTAGAATAGGAACAGGTAATGTTCAAGAGAACCTGGAGGTGCATCAAGTATTAGGAATGGTGGGGACTGTGGTGAGTGGAGGATGCAAACGTGAATGACTCATTCAAAGCTACAGCTACTCTTGGATCCAATCAGTTAGATACTTTCCAGAGAAGCTGAAAAATGTGAAATATCCCACATTTAGAAATCTTGTTGGGCAAACAAAATATATCTATGAACCTGAGTGAGCCCACAAGCATCTTACGGCTTATTCTCAGACAGTGTGCATCAGATAGTTTACCCAGAGCTGGGGAGTAGGGAGCCTCTGAAGTCGGGTGCTGACTTTCACTTTATCAGTTGTCGTTTGGTGTCTGTTTGATTTATTTGACAATAAGCAAAGTTTTGTGGTGGTTTCCTTAATGCATCCAAAATATTTCTGCTGAGTTTTTAAAACTTTGAAATAAAATTAACTCATCACCCCACAAACCTTAATAAAAGTACCTTGGGGTTATCCCACTTTCTCTTGAGTATATCTTAACCCTCATTTTAGAGGAAATTGCCAAGAAAATGTTAAGACTGAAGCTCCCCTTATCGGTGGACATAGTACAGCCTTCCCTTGCAGTTGAACAGAGTGAAGCTGCAGATGGGATGAGACTTAACCGCATCCCCCAAGGACAGGACAGTTCTAGGGCTTAGGCATTTTGGCTTTTGCCCTGGTGGTCTTCTCCCTGAGGCCTGGGCATGATTCCATGTCTTCAAAAAACAAACTCCCAGTCGCCCCACACCCTTGGTGTGAAGCCTGTGCGAGGCCCTGTGTGATGAGGTTCCCGGGCTCACCATCTATGGCTGTTGCATCTTTCTGGGTTCTGAGCCTCCACCTTCTGTGTCCCTGCTACCTGAAATACCTTTCCACCCCACTGGCTGACAGACACCAGCCCAATCTCAAGACTAAGTTTCCTGATGAGAAGAGCTGGCATCCCCCAGGTGCCCAGCTCACATAGCCCAGGCGTTGGGGAGTAGCTCTGAGCTCCACTGGGGCTTGCATGTCTCTGCCCCCAGCCCTGGACTGTGGTCAAGTCACTGCCTCTCTTGGCTTAATATTCCTCATCTGTAAAATGGGGTAAAATGACAGCTGATACTATTAGGTAATAGAATGAGGTGCCTGATGACTATATAATAATCACTGGAGTTTGTGAGGACTGTGGGGCAGTCCACATGAAGGGCCCGAGACACTGGACTTAAATGACAGTCGCTTTTATTCATGTAGAGAGCAATGGATAGGTGGGGGTGGCTGGTGAGGCTTGCAGCATGCTGCTTCTCGGCCTGACCCAGCTGCTTTTCTGGAATGTTCCAGCCAGACAAGTGGAAACCTGCTTTTTGTCCTTTCTTTCATACTATTTAGTTTGATTTTCTCAGCCCAACTCCTCCCAAGTTGGGCTTCACTGTTCCACTAGTGGCAGTTCCCAGACCTGCCGCGGGCCAGGCCCCCACTCTCCACCCTGCCTCCACCTTATTACAGATCCCGGCACCAGGCCTGCTTCTCTGCACATTGAGTCTCTGGGGCTCAGGCATCTGAATTTTTAACAAGCTCCCAGGGTGTTCTGGGTCTCCACTGAGCATCACTCACTGCCAAGGCCGCAGTCTGCCTGACCCCAACACTGGCCGGTTCTCTAGATACCCTCACCCAGACATCATCCACACTCACTCATCACTCTCAACTCTTGATTAAGCCAAGCCCTTCTTTTGCCTGGTGTCTCCTGGTGTCTCCAGTGAGAGCTGGCTGCAAAGTGAACTGTTTTCTCTGCATATTAGCTTTGCAAACTGCCTATTGTTTGGTGTTTGACTTAAGAACTTAAAATTAGGTACTGATGCTGCTGGGGGAAAAGTCAGCATTAAAGTTCATGGCTAAATAGCATGAGGCTTTGAAGTCAGGCCCTAATTTGGAGTGAGGCCCACATGGGACCTTTGGAGCCCTGTGCGTGACTGTGGCAAACTACCAGACCTCTTGGGCTCTCGTGTTTAAAATGTGGAAAAGAATAAATAGAAAGACTGTGGGGTCTGGCAGTTAAGAGTCCGGAGTCCTGAGCCTGGCTGCCTGGATTCAAATTCTAGCAGCACCACTTGCTAACCAGGTAACTTAAGATGTCCGTGTCTCTTATCCCCTCCTGTAAATGGGAGTGATAATAGAACCTCAGAAGGTTGTCCAGGCTTCCATGGGCTCCCGCATGGAAAACACTCAGACCTGTATGTGTGAGCTCTCATTACTTAAGCAAATCAAGAGATTGTGAAAAGTAAGTGAGACAGCACAGGGAAAATGGTACAGGACCTGATTTGTGGCTTGACCTAGAATAATCTTTCCTACTTCTTCTGGTTAATTCCTACTATTTAGGTCCCAGGTTAAAAGCTACCTCCAACTAGAAGCTGGCCGTGATTTCCCCTCTCCCCCAGCCCTGAGATTAGGTTTCATGCCACCTTTCCATATAGCATATATCACAGTTGTCATTAATTAATTATTTGGTGATATGCCATCATTAGTTGCCAGAGACGTGAACTCAGGTACTGGTGGGTCAGGCAGAGGCAGTGAGTTCAACAGCAGGTACCAGAGGATGGAGAGCAGGAGGGCCCAAGAGCAGCCAGCTGAGAAAGGACAGCAACCTGGACCTCCAGGAGCCACCACCGGCCAGGTGTTGGTGTCGTGGGGGGCTGGGCTGGCTCTCCAGGTAGACCACACCATTCTGCCAAGCGTCTGTCAAACAAGAATGTCATCACGAGACGGAGCCACTGTGTGACTGTGGCAGAACAGGACAGATACAAGGCCTCCCCCGTCCTGCCTGGGCCAGGAGATCCCAAGTATCCCTGTCCTCTGGCCTGAGTGACAGCTGCTGCTTTTTCTATTACAATGTTACCCTCCTGTGGTCCCCATAACATTTATTAAGATATTAGACTTTCCCCCACTTCCTAACAGTCTCCAGTGCAGGCTTCCTTGAGCCTTCCCAAACCTCTGTGCTCTCTCTGGTTCCTCTGACTGAGATGCCCCGCGGTTCCCCATTATAAAGAGTAGTAAATGACAGGTGTGTCCCTGGGGGT